CTAAGGAGGATCAAATCACTAATAAGGCGCTGGGGCTACTTTCACGAAAGTCCTTGCCTTATCTCGTGGCGATTATCAGTGCCACGCTAAGGACCCAGTACTTTCCATCGGCGTGGAAGACTGCGGAAGTTATAATGATTCCAAAGAAGGTGTTTAGATATTTCCCCAGGACTATCGTCCCATCAGTCTGATGTCTGCTCCGTCTAAGCTGGCTGATAAGGTGATTCTACGTCACCTTGCGAATTTCTCGTCAGATCACCATGTGATTCCTGACGTGCAATTTGGATTTCGGTCTGAGCATAGTACGGAGTTACAGGCGGTTAGGCTCGTGGAGCGAGTAACCGGGGGATTCACCCTTAACGAAAGTACTGGCATCTTGCTTCTGGATGTGTCGAAAGCATTTGACAAGGTGTGGCACAAGGGCCTTCTCTAGAAACTAATTCGAAAGAGCTTTCCATTTTGGCTTCTAAAACTCTTGAAATCCTTCCTTGAAGGTATGAAATTTCGGATCAAAATTAATAATTTCTTGTCGACAGTACGGCCCATCAGGGCCGGCGTCCCTCAGGGTTCGGTTCTAGGGACAATCCTTTACTCACTTTTCACGCATGATGTGCCTTGCCCTGGCGTCTGTGACGTCTATCTATCTGCTGATGAAAAAAAACGAAGGAGAAGTTGTCAGACATTTCTAAGGGAGACTTCAAAAAATGTTTCGAGCAGTGGAAGCACCGGTGGGACAAGCGTATTAGTTGTAGTGGACGGTATTTTGGAGGAGATAAGCTTACTTTGTGAAAAATTTGAAAATAAATAGCTTATAAAAAATAATTCCGTTTTTTTAACCCCTCGTATTTAAAGAATGGAATATTTAAACTTTTTAAGATTCCCGAATGACTTTGGATGAAACAAACTCATATCTTTGGTCCAATCAATAATGCCACAGCAAACAAAATTATAGCACAATTACATACCTAGTAGAACGATAGCAGTCACAAAAAAGGAGATTTATCGCACAAAACCTGGTACCAAAATCACCACTCAAAAATATTCATAAAAAAGCATGGACAAAACGAAGGAACAAAAAATAATAAATTGGTTTTGATCCACAAGATACGTTTCAGAATCAAAATCCATTGAAGGACATGGCCGCCCGCAGAGGGGCACCGTGGCTCTCCCTGAGATTCTGATTGGATCTTGAAGATTTTGTGGACAATGTTGGGAATCCTTATGATAATGAGAACATTTGTTTCCTCGCGTTCTTCAATCTCTTCCAGTTTTGGGGCAGGCACACTTTTACAGAATATTAACTCTTGGTGATGATCGCTCCTATCTTAGAAAAATTCTTGCGGGCGCCCATGAAACTTGCCTAATAATGGCCCAGTTCTGAAGTATATTAACCTGTCCTCTTCATTGGATTAAAATTTTATCATTTGATCAATTCATATCCCCACTAGATACAGCGCGGGACCGTGATGTAGAATGCGATGTTACTACTGAATATGCAGAAGCAGGTAGAAGGTGTACCTCGTGTCGGATAGTTTCGAAGTTTTTTTAGTCGCGCGAACCATCGCTACCGCGGCGATGTACAGCATACGACACAACGCAAACAGCTCAACATCGCCGACACGTATTGCTTGCTGTTTTTGATGGTCAATCAGTACATACATACTGATAAATGTGCGCGAACCATAAATTAGTTATAACATAAAACCTTGGACTGGCGTTTATTTAAAAGGTACGGTACACTTTTACTACTTGTAATAATTACTCTGACTTCGGTGACAAAATTCAATGAATTGTTTTATGGTATTCGGGAACAGAAAAATAAGTTTTCCGCACAGCGCAACGGTACTGTTATACCGAAACGTAGCGTCCTTTTCAACAGCTCTGAAACATTATTTATACACGCAACACATTCTTGTATAGCGTGAACGCTGCTCCAATTGTGATGCTTTGATTGAATCTGAAACGTACGTATGAATAGAAAAGTGGTATCTATGAAGTTCAAGTTGCGGTGAGAAGATGCAATACGCTTTATGTAAATCAATAAAATCAACCGCAATGTGTAAATGAATTGGAATTTCCCAAGTTGAGTATGCGACGCGCGCGCGTTTCCTATGCTCAGTTATTATTGCATAATAGACGCACGTTAAATGAAGCCTGAAAAATTTAAATGAACTACAATTTTTCGAACACTGTTAACAGTTCATAATGTGAAGTAAATATACTGGCAGCTCAATTTTTTTTGGAAAAACGCTCAGATCCGTCGATTTTGTTCTCGAGGGGGACACAAGTCTGGCAAAAAATCACGTTAACACGTGCAGCCCCCTAAGCGGGGGTGACACGAACCCTAAAATCTTAAATGGAAAGGGGGGTCGAGTGATACCTTATTTTAAACGTCTTTCAATTCCCTGTATGATGATGTAAAATTAATGTACTTCAGTTCAGTAGTTTTGAAGATTTATTGATTTAAAGCTCAAAGTAGACTTTAATAGGTACATCAGATTAGTTTGTACTACTTTCAGAAGAAATAAAACTTGATAAGTAAATGCTTTTCTTCACTACGCCCATGGTTTGTTTATCATTTTGTTGTTGAAAATAGCTATTGGTGCGTTTTTTTGTGGCAAAAAGTTATTTCTTGAAGAAAGATAAGGAAATGTCTCGTACGTATTTTAAATAGGAATTTAGTACAGCAGAAAGAGTTGAAATTATCGAAATATTTTTCGCAAATAATCAGTGCGCTAATAGAACAGCAGAAATATTTAATGAGCGACATGAGAACAGTAACGTGCATCGAAAATATGTTCTAGAACTTGTAGCTAAATTTCGGGAAACTGGGTCAGTCGCCAATAAAAAACGCAACATTAAAAATCCCATAACGAACGAAGCAATAGAAGTGAGAGTTTTAGGGCAAGTTTATGTAAATCCTACGTTAAGTACCCGCAAAATGGAGATTGTCTGTGGTGTTAGTCGACGTACTGTCCAACGGATTCTAAAGGCCCATAGTTTTCATCCGTATAAAATTCACCTGGTACAAGAACTTAATGAAGACGATTTTGATCGGCGTTTACAATTTTGTGGAGATATGAGAGAACGAATTATAAACGATGAACATTTTGTATTCAACACTTGCTTTTCCGTCGAATGTTCCTTTTTCTTAAATGGCGTAGTAAATCGTCATAACTGCCGATATTGGTCCGATTCTGATCCCAAAATTTATCATGAGGTTCATACACAGCAGCCACAAAAATTAAATGTTTGGGCTGGTATTTTTGGCGATGATTTAGTTGGTCCTTTTTTCTTACCTGGAAATTTGATCGATGAAATGTATTTGGAATTACTGGAAGACGCCATAGATTCTGCATTAACAGCCATAATTGAAGATCAGAATGATCGGCGGTACACTGCGAATAGGTTGATGTTCCAACAGGATCGTGCCCCACCACATTACGCATTACGTGTTCGACAATATTTAGATCAGACATTACCAGATCGATGGATTGGTAAAAGAGGTGCCATTGAATGTCCCCCAAGATCGCCAGATTTATCACCTTTGAATTTCTTTATGTGGGGTCATTTAAAAAGCAAAATCTATGCTACTCAGCCAACATCATTAGAAATATTGCAAAATGTGCGACAACGTTTTGACCAAAATATTTATTATTGCATGGAGAGTCATGGAGGCCAGTTTTCAACATTTTTTAGTTGCCTAACGGGTCAGTTCATTCTTCATTTTTAAATTACTTTGCTGCCAAATGTATTGATCTCCACTAATGATGATATATTATTTTTATTTAAGCTTTAAATCAATAAATCTTCAAAACTACTGAACTGAAGTACATTAATTTTATTACATTATAAAGGGAATTGAAAGACCTTTAAAATAAGTTATCACTCGACCCCTCTTTCCATTTAAGATTTTGGGGGTGGTGTCCCCCCGCTTAGGGGGCTGCACATGCTAACGTGATTTTTTGGCAAAATTGTGTCCCTCTCGAAAACAAAATCGAGGGGTCTGAGCGTTTATCAAAAAAAAAAATTGAGCTGCCAGTAAATGCGTCTGTTTCGTTTTCGATGCGCCACCCTGTATAACAAATATGATAAAATGTTAAATTGAATGGATTCCGTATGAATCATTATTACATTCTGAGATATTGTATTGTATATCCATGATATAGTCAGGATGTTTGTGTATACAGGGTGTTTGAAAACCTCCCACCACGGATTTATCGAGCACCACTTATTAAAAGAAAAAACGCCGAGACACGACACCTTCTGCCGCCCAGGGTCGTCACCTTAAAAATTTTAACCCTTTCAAGCTTTGTGGTGTCACCATGAAACCACCTTTTTAATAATTTATCACGGCGCTGCGGAGTGGTTATCTGCCGATACCACCGTGTAAGAAGTAGCACTATATTGCCAAAAAATTATTTACATAGGACGCCATTCCTAACAGCTTGTTATTTGACATTTATCGATTTGTTTTCACAGTGTGCAGGTCAATGGCGTGCGTGGTCATAAATTGAGTGTTTGTTTCAAAAAATAAGGACAGAATGGCGGGTAAGTACTATATTTTATTGTATTAGGTATTGTTTTATGTTATTATCATAGGCACACGCGATTTTATATATTTTTATTGGTTGCTTTGAATAAAATTAAGGTGGTGTCAATTGATACCACATAGCAATCAATGCCTAATATTTTCGGTGATTTTGGATTTTTGCCTTGTATGTTTGGCAGTGTGTTTGTGTAATTAGTGGGCGTATTTTTCTGTTTTTGAGTAATTTGATTGTTTTGCTGGGTTAGTTGATCTGCCGTCAGTTCGGTAATTCTGAAGTTTGCGGCGGGATGGAAGTCGATGGAAAAACTATTTAGACTATTGGTTGGTGGGCTACTTGTATGTTGTTGGTTTGTTTATTGGTGGGTGTACTTTTGTTTTTGATTCAATTATTTTACTAAGTTAGCTGCTTACGTGGATAGTGACTAATTGATTGGGGATTTTGTTTCAGGGAAAAAGTGGTCTTACAAAGATTTGGAATATATGACCTATGAAGAGTACAAGAATATATTTTTTGAGGACATACCTTCAGGAAATGAATCGGAAGATGATCAAAATGGGTCAGATGAAGTCGTGCATTTTGCAGCACAAAAGCGGAACAACACCGTACGTGATGGTCGTGCAGTACTTGCAATGTCGGTTTGTGTCTCATTGACCAAAAAAATTGCTTTGAAAAATATCATAGCAAATAAGTTGTATGTTTTTACTTCAAACTTCTTTTTATAACATTATCTTAATTAAATATATGTTTCAGTAATATCTGCATTGTATTATTTTAGTGCTTGGTGGTATCATGGTGATACCACCTACTAATTCCTTTTTCTCCAAATTTAAAAATTTTCTGGGCTATTTTTAATGCTTTTGAGATCTTATCACTTCATTTTTTTCAGCTATAAATGAAATAGCTTGAAAATTTAAAAATATGCCTTGAAAGGGTTAAATGACAAGGAGTAATAGCTTGTTTGAAAGATCTTTATTTTGACGTTTGATTTTTTTCAGATCGGTCGATTTGTTTTCAAGAAAATTAGAAAAATCGTCATTCATCTTAATTTGTTCAAATAGAAAACAAAAACACACGAAAATATCACTTTTTATTTCAATAACTGTTTAAAATGTTGCCCATTTATTGGCCAATCAATGATATAGGCGATGGCCAAATTCTATTTCGAAAAACATGTGGGATATCATGGCCGTTTTCGATGTTACGACGAAGTTCATCCAAACTTTCAGATTGGGGAGTAAACACAACAGATTTCAAATGGCCCCATAGAAAAAATTCTAATGACGTTAAATCAGGGGCAACATTTGGAACACTTTTTGATAGAAAAAGTGATATTTTTGACGTGTCTCAGCGTTTTTCTTTCAATCAGTGGATAGCAAGTCCGTGGTATGAAGTTTTCAAATGAATACCCGGTGTAGTCATCATATTGTATGTATTCACAATGCAGATTGCTTGATCTGTAATTGAAGGTGAAGATAGTGTAAATTTAAGTCTTTAAGCAAATAGATAAGTAGGAAATAAGAATAACAAAATTATATTTTTCGAAACCAAGAAATCGTCTGTTTTGAAGTCATTCCCTACACTGCTTCTAAGTACTACCTAGTATACAGGTATGTACACACCCAAATATCTCAGAAACTAAAGGTGCTAAAAAACTTTGGGTGCAGAAGTTTCAGGAAATCAAATGGCGCATCTAGTGGTGACTTTAAAGGTAACTTGAAGGGCAAGATGATTCTTCACCCGTTTTTATTGCAAAAATATAAAGCCAAAAAATTTCATTTTCAACTGTAACATTTTCTAGTGGTTAAAGTTACATTTGAACGCTATCCCAAGGTCAACCGTCGCTCTTTCATGGAATGTTATTGAAGCAGCGGATAGATGGAAAAGGAAGAACTTTTAATACGAAAATTGAAGGACAGCCAACGGCACATCTGATGCTGACCTTCATTCTGACCTTGTATATGACCTTGGAGGTCAATTGAAGGTAAAATTGATTTTTTCAGTCGGAATGAAGGTCACCATCAGATGTGCCGTTAGGTGCCCCGAAATTTTTACATTAAAGAACCTTTAATGTTATTCTTTTTCCAGCTATCCGCTGCTTTCCGCAACATTCCATGAAAGAGCAACCTTGTAATAACTACTAGATGTAATCTTAGCCACTATGATATTTATACCGTTTAAAAAGAAATTCTTTAGGCGTTCCCATTTAAAAAAGGTCACTACTAGATGCGTCATTCCTGAAACTTTTGTATTCAAAGTTATTTTCTAGCACCCTTAGATTCCGAGATATTTGGGTGCGTCCATACTTTTAGACACCCCGTGTAAAATAGTCATGTACATCCTTGTTTATCCTGTAAATAGATATTATTTTTAAAACATATCATCATAGCAAACTGCAAAGAGGATACATGTCCATGACTAACATCTTTTTATCGTTAATTTTCATATACATCAAGATAACTAAAGACAGATAATTATGATGTTAATATCTATTTACAATTTTACGGCATCTGCTCATTTTCACAGCGGTTTCGCTGATATAAACGATTCAGTCATTATTTACGAATCTGCAATTATTATTTTCATCAGATGTGTAGGATGCTTTCAAATTGAATATTCCTCAGAGTAATCCAAATACATAATCTTTTAATGTTTTTGTAGGTGAATATTCAAGGATTGGGTTGAATTGGAAAGAAAAGATACGAATTAATTTAGCGCATATGTAGGTAATTAACAGCAATTAAGATAAATGGAATAAGATATAGTCTGACATGTACAGTCCATTAAGAAAAAATGTAACACACTGATGAGGTAATTATTCTACTAATGAAAACAATTAATGAATTAGATTATAAACATAACCTTTTGGTTGAGTTGTTCTGTCTCTATAATGTTAAAGTTTTTTGTTTCACGACGTATCGATTGATGACGACCGAAGATCGAAACGTCGTAAAACAAAAAGCTTTATAAACGATGAACTTCGAGAAACAAATCTTAAACGTCCGCATTGGCTTCAACTTTCAACACTACCCTTTTGGTGCTACCGTTGTATACGAGCTTATTTGTATTTCTTTGCCCTATTCTTGAAAATAATTACATCGGTTTGAATACATGAGGAAAAATATTACTGTGAACCAATATTGTCTTCATAATATCAATAATTTCTAAGAGAATTCCAATGGTGTTTCAAATATTTTCTGATGGTTCTCGCCTTGCTCTCCCACTCATACCAAATATGCGACGAATGTCAACGTTGTGAACAATGGCGAATGGCCTGAATAGTCTGGTGATGCCGATCTGACCTCTAACGGTTTTATATATGGATAGATAACCTATTATTATATTGCCTGGCTAATTAGTATACACGATCTCAAGTCTGATAATATTTTATTATTATAATAGCCGAATTAACTTTAAGTTATAATGCAAAGCGAAGATCAGTATTATCTATAGCGTATTTAGGTGCATTCATGTAAATTCTTTGCAAATTTCGTAATGCATCACTATTTTATATCTAGCTAATCACGCTGTTCACATAGAGTTTCATTTGTTTACCTTGCAAGTCATGATAAGCATTGTAGTATAAACTCAGACAATTATTCGTTTATTTTTTATTTCGTGCTCCACACTAATAAGGCAGACATACAACACAGCTGATAATAAATCACGAATACTGTTAACTTTAACATTGACATTTGTATGTAAAGATTCGCAAATGGCGTTACAGCACGATTCTAAAATCCTGAATAATAGGCTATCATTGTTTCGTGACTTCATCTACACACCATTAGTCATGTATCCAAAAAAAAAAATAAAAACGTTCAAGGTAGTCATCTATGATGCCGATTACCAAATCTGTTTTAAATTTAAAGTATAAAATATAGAGCAGGAAGACAGTAACATTCAAAGATAATCAACATATTTCTACGTTTTGTGTTTTTAACGCTGATGAATATTCATAAGTTTGTTCAATGGCGAATAGACCGTATCGTGTATCTGCTGTAGTACCAGAACGAGCGGCATCTATCGGCCACAGTATGGCTGGCATACAGTTCCAGTTCCAACAGACTGCTTGCTGTTTTTGCTATTGCAATAGCCGATTGGTGGTAATAGATGGCGCTTTGTGCTGTTTTACTTTATTGTATTCCAAGTTTCGACAAAATCGGCCGATCGCTTACTGAGGTTGTCCAATGGCAAAGACAGAACGACAGGTGAATCATCGCCACTCGGCGACTTAGAGTCTTCAAACTATTTTTCAAGTCGCAACATATTTTTCAGCAAATGATATTCTTTATCGCCTATCGTTTATGCACTCTGTATAAACACAATTACAATATGTCATTAGAAACAATTTTTTCAGGACCAATTTTGTAAATATTAATTTACGTGCACCCGTTCCTATTGGCAAGTCTCTCGTACTGTTTGGCTGCTGGTAAATGTGTTTTTTGCTAGAAAACGGCACATAAATACTCACGATTCAACCATTCAGAAAATGCTTTCTACTCCATTTTTGGGATTTTAGATGTTTATTGTGAAACTCAACACAAACATCTAGATTATTTACCTTTCGTCAGGAATCCGATTCTGGTCTGTTTAATGAACATACAGCAACAAAAACGTTTTCACTTCGATTGACATTCCTAGGTACATTCACAAAAGTTTCTCGCACAACGTTTCGAAGGTAAACACTTCAAGAGAGATCATTTGTTTTAAATTGAACGGGGAATTCTAAAATAATTTTTATTTGGCAAGAAACCATTGGCGTACCATTTTTTTCTAAAAAAAATATCGAAGTCAATACGCGTATGCTCGCTACTGTTAAAGCTAAACATATTTTTGCATTGAAAAATATGCAACTTTATTAACTTCCACTACGTACTAACAATGCAAAATACAAAAGAATACTTTTATACGTGCTGCCTGGCTTCGAAGTTGAGTCATTTATTTTAACAGTGAGTAGATCTGATCAAAAGAAATGTTTTTTCCTTTACCATTTTTCTGGTAAAATTAAAGTAACAAAGTTATAGCCCTTTGGAAGTTTGAGTACCGCCCTGTCTCAATAATAATATTATGTGCTCGTGTTTGGCGACAATGGATATAATCCGCCTTATCGGTTCATCGCATCGGAAACGAAAAAGCGAAAGAATTTGGAACGATGTTTTTACAATTATTTCATTCAGTTGTATACAGTCAGTGTCAGTCGGTAGTGAATAGTGGTGTAACTGTTGCGTGGCTCAAACGAAATAAAAAATGGCACATGTTTATGCGGATCGGTTTCCCAATCGAGTGCAACCAACCCCTCGTGCCTTTGTTAATGTAGTACAACGGGTTCGTGAATCAGGTGACTTAAGACCTCACATATGGACGGCATGCCGGTGCTCCAAGACCTCACGATCAAATACAGGTCCGCACTGAAATACTTGTCGGGAGAATACTTTATAAAACAAGGTAAACATTTTTTTTTTATTTTTACACACATATTTTGGTTTATCTTCCTTCTACAATCATTATCTGAAAATTAATGACTCAACTTCAAAGTCACCCTGTAAGTATTACAAACTTGAAAAGTATGGCTCAGGAATGAGTTAGGTGTCTCGGAAGAGATTATAACTTTAGAACCCAACCTGTATACTTTTGAAGAGTTGAAATTCTGTTCAATAATGTCATTCTGAGTATCTATGAATAAATGTACGAAATGCGAAAATATGTTTATTTTCAAATTGAATTTCAGAATATACATTCATACATATTTCCAATAGAAACAATTAATTTTGAGATCAATTGCAATAGCCAGCAGGTATACAACGTTAGCCAAGCTTATGCTTATTCTTGTACAATAAGTTGTGAAAGCTAAACCCGATAAGAGAACCGACATTGTTTTTATTTTGGTACGCCAAACTTCATATCAGCCAATAAAAATAACCGAGACGGCGTAGAGCACGCTATCGCTACATCCGTTACCGATTTTCCTACACCATCACAGACTGTTATCCTTGCACTTGCACTGCCTCGCCTTGCAGTCTGTTGACGTTAACCATAAAATTATCTCCACGTTTTCCAGCCGATGTGCGACTGTACATCAAACTGTTAACTGGTAAAGTTTACAAAGAGAACACCGCCGCAAACAGTGTGTATGCTATGAATAACAACTTGGCCTATTTTGCTGCTGCTGCTCTCCGCTTTATGATGTAGCTGCTAGCTGCAGCTTGGAAACTTTCCACATACACATCGTTTACATCAAATTCACCAACAGCTGCTGTTCATCTAACACCGACGTAATTATGTGCATAGATCACAGCTCTATTAAGGACTAAAGAAAAGCAGGAGAAACGATTTTGGTTATGCGTACTTAGTGAATCAAGTAGCGTGCATATTAAATGTGAAAACCCTGTGAAAATTTTAGAACTTTGCGTGCATTTACGTAACGTGAGAACGTTCAACACTTATTGGAACACAAAAAATCGGGCAGTACCAATATTTTCGATAATCTCCCCGTGCTTTTCTGGCCAGAAAGGGCGGTATTTTATTATCAACATGTAAAACACAGGATCAGTTTCAGAATTTACATCTAAGGATATTTTCGCCGCTGACACGGAAATAAAAGCGTTAAGACTACTTCCACAGGTCTATAAAGTATAGAAACCGATACGGTTTCACATATACAGAAATGATACTCTATCAATATTTCAAATGCAATTTTCCATTTTAAAGTACGTAGTAGTTCCACTGCGAAAAATTGAATTTTCTTTTGTGTTCGATGATGGAATACTTCAGTATTAATGGAATTCTGGCAAGAAGGGGTAATGCTAGCTCAATGTTCATACCGCACGATATTTCAAAAATAATGACGAAATATACTAAGTGACATATAAATCCGAACACCTAATTTAAATGGTTTTATTTTAATAAAATTTTGTATAAGTGCTTAATGAAGCATAATAAGTAAATGATAAAAATTTCAAAATGATTGCACTGCTTTAAAGCCCTTTGACCTTTAATAATGTGTGGATGCACCCTGATGTGCTACGCATTCTCCAACGCGCCTAGGCATGCTTCTGATCAGGTGGTCAATGTCCTCCTGTGGTATCTCATTCCAGGCAACCACCAACTCCTCTCGAAGTGCTTCTAGAGTCTGAGGAGGACGTTGCAAATTGAGCAATCTCCTACCCATCATATCCCACACGTGCTCAATTGGGGATAAGTCGGGAGATCTTGGTGGCCATGGTATCAATGTGACATCATTATGTTGAAAGAAGTCTATTGTGACTCTTGCAATATGTGGTAGGGCATTATCTCGTTGGAAAGTTGGATCTGCCAGGGTGTCAAGATAGGGTAAAAGATGGGGTTCTAGAACTTCGTGGATATAACGCTGCGCGTTCATGTTACATCTGATGAAGATTAAAGGTGACCTGGAACCATCAGCTATAGCACCCCAAACCATAACTCCAACAGTGTGATGAACATGTCTTTCAACAAAAAACTGTGGGTTCCTCCTTTCACCACGTCGCCTTCTAACCCTGGCCCGACCATCGTGCATGCCTAAACAAAATCGAGACTCGTCACTAAAGACAATACTGTTCCATTCCTGATCCCAGAGTGACCGTTGTCTGCACCACTTAAGGCGATTACGTCGGTGTTCTTGAGTTAAAGGGAGGACCCAGTGTGGCCGGTATGAAAACAAGCCAAAATTTCTCATTCGTCGGTAAACACTTCGCATGCCAATAGGTCCAAAACAGAAACAGTGAAAATCTCGTTCTACAAGTATTCGGGTAGGGCGAACCGTTCCCTTTAGTAGCTCTTTAAAGTAGTGATCAATAAAATATTTAAATCCAAGGTCACCTGTAGTAAGTGTTCGAGGTATCTTTTGCAAGCACTGCATTGTGCCTTGTTGTTCGGCAGACGCTCTTCCTCGACTTTATTACCCCCCTTCCCGACCTGACGGGTTCGATGTTCGATGCGACGTTGCTGTTTCTATAATTACCATTGTCGCCATCGTATTATTCAATCTCTCGTGTACTAATTGAGATGCGGTTTCGCGTCACAAATGTCATTGAACCTTCATGTTTTGATACACTTTGTCCGAATTGCCTGATATGGATTTTGGTGATGTACCTGTCGTATGTTGTTGTAGACTCAAACAACCGGTGGATGAGTTAACGTTGAAGTTTTAGTAAAAGATTTCACGAGCCGCGAATAAATCCTTTTACTCTGTATGCAGCAGCTTTAGAACCTTTCTAAATACGTACCTAAATTGTTTTATTTTTATTGCAATACGTCGCAGATGCTAAAAGTAATTAATAACCGGCGTGCAGCGTCGGATCCAATTAATTTGTAATGAACACCTCGTTGCACCGGAACAAAACAGGAAGATGCTGCAAATCGAAATCGGATTGAGAAACGGAAACAGGTAAGCAAGGAAGCAAACGCAAGCGGTGTTCGGCTCTCTCCGTCATATCTGTAACTGCAGTCTCTCTACTATGAAGTCTGTTGAGACGAAGCCGACGACGACGATGACGAGGATTTGTTCGCGAATTAATCGCAGCTTTGTATCCTCTCCCCTCTTTACAGATTAATATCTCTCATTATTTAGATATTTCCTCCTTCGCGCCGCGTAGGAGCTGTGCCTTCAAACACCTTTCCATTTTCTCCTTTTGCCGCTATGAAGCGCCGCCGCGGGGCCGGCAGGCATACAAATTCTAGGATGGAACGTTTGAAAGATACCTAGCCGCGCTCATACGACATACCACCTACTAAATTACACACTGATATTAAGATATCTGTGTTTCGTCCCAAAATTCATAAACATAGATTCTATTAAACAAGATGCTTTCATCCGTCCGACCAGAAAAAGAAGACAGCCAACCATGGACAGCTGTTTCTTGGTTCTTAGCTACTCATCAGCATGGTATAGGCTTGGTCTCTTATCACAAAGTATCACAATGAACCTATTTTTACCTAACGTGATTTTCTTTTTACTGGCACATAAAGGATGAAACGAAAAATAGAAAACCTCTATGTATTTGAATATAGGAACATTGCGAGTTGAATTTAAATGTTGTGAAACATCCTATCAACTTAAATATATTGTTATGAGGCTGGCGTACGTTGACAGGTGGGTATTGTTTCGCGAATGCACGTGTATTCCAACGAATGAGCGAACCGACGACAGAATATTTCCCTGCTTGCCTGCCTGACCGCAAAATGAAAACAGAAACAACGAAATAAATCCAGAGCCAGGCAAATACACACTCATGCTGCTTCCGCTGAAGTTGATGAAAAGGCTGCTCAAATCTTTCTGTCATTAGAAGCGAACTGGAAATGACTTCTTAATATCTTAATGTCCGGGCTTTCTCACGCAAAAATCGTCAGGTTCGCAGCTCCTTAAACCTATGTTGAACCTCGGACAGCACGAAAATCTACCGGTTTTTTCGACTTTACCCGCCGTTTTCGATCCGGTTTCTTTCTCTCACCGCTCCGGCTGTCGCTCCCCCGTAAAGCGCCGAGTTTCTAGTTTCCGAAACGGTATCGCTGTCCTTCCGAACGTTTCGCGAACCGGGAAAAAACCGGAAAAACCGCGTCGATGTCATACGACAATTTCTGAACCCCTACCAATTATACCAAATCGAACAAAAGATCACCGCTTAATATCGTCGAGGCAGCGATTTCTAGGTCGGCCGCTTGGCTATGCCAAGTGTTATTCCAAAATTACAACGACGTTATTTCGAATATTTTAACAATCCGGTAAAACGGAAAGCGGCCATGCGCCCATTCATCAACTTTGATCCGTTGTGGAAATCCCAAATTCGGATGTTCCTTTCATGTTGTTTTCACATCGATTTTCACACCTCGAACGTTAAATATTTACCGTTATGCATATTTACCGATCCGCGCGTAAATTATGCTTTATTACAGGAAATATAAAAAGCGACAAAACATAAATACACAGACATTAAAAATGTTGCTTTCACAAGTATATGTGCAGTGGCTCATCATTAACTTTTATGGAGGCATGATTTGAAATGAAATTGAATCTTTCAAACCTATCTAGCTATTCTCACCTGGTTCAATGACTACTGTAAACTATTGTGGATATGTCGTAGAATTGACCATTTCATGAAATGGTCAACTAAATTTAACTATTTAATCGTCAACGTTAACGATTTGGTCCGTCACGATTGTTCATATCGTAAAATAGGGTGACCATAGAATATTTAATAAAAATTTAGAACACATTACTTGTTTTTTTTTAAGGACTTAAAAACATTTTTATCAAAACTGGCAACTTTAGGAAATTAAAATACAGGGTGGCGCATCGAAAACGAAACAGACGCATTTACTGGCAGCTCATTTCTTTTTGGAAAAACGCTCAGACCCGTCGATTCTGTTTTCGAGAGCGACACAAGTTTGACAAAAAATCACGTTAACACGTGCAGCCCCCTGGACGGGGGTGACACCAACCCTAAAATCTTAAATGGAAAGGGGGGTCGAATGATACCTTATTTTAAAGGTCTTTCAATTCAAAAAAAAAACTCGCTCAAACTTCGATCGTTGACGTTTCAGAGGACCCTGATCATTATTGGAAAAAATTCAGGGGTAAAAAGTTGGAGCGGGTAGGATTATAGACAAGTCCAGGAGAGTGTATCGCAATTTTTTAATGTTACTATATTAATGCACTTCTAACCCCGGTAATTCTAATCGCTTATTGGACAGTTATCCAACATTTTTGACAAACACCAGATCTCCACAGAAATGAAGCTATCGTGTACAGACTCGAAAGTATAGGGTCAGCCTACTCAAAGTTCAAAAAATGCATTGACATTTTGTCAAAGAAACGAACATTTGAAGGACTGATATGCGCTACAAAACAACTTGTTCGATGTGATCAGACTTCTCTATAGACTATGATTTACTTCCCTGACCTCTTGGCGTACGAAGTAAAACTTATCATGGTAGCCGAAAATCAGTAATTTTCTAAATTATTATAGGTATTTTTCAATTATTGACCAAAAGGAGAAACAGTAATGGACAAAGTATATTTTATTTCCTAAAATGATTCTACAGAATCTGCTGCAGATGCGGATGCGTCTATGGATTTTGAAAGAATCGTGCTGACGTAATACAACCTTTACATTGCAGTCAGCTAGTTTTTGTGGCGTTCATTTAAAACAATAGAATAGTTACCTCACCCAACCCGATGGGCTCGTCGTCGATCGCTACTCAGATGCATTCTGTTGCATATTGCCTCTGAGTAATAATGACTTAGATATTCATTGTTTCGAGAAGCCGTTCTTGGAACTGACAAATGCTTCTCGTTATTCCACTGAATTAAGCTTCGTCTTATGATGATTTTTTTTATTGATGGCGGAAATTGAGTCATTGGAAAAGACGCGCTCATAGATCACCAGATAAGATAAGCAAACACGTACAGAGTTGGATCAGGGGAACTATCTCAATAGGTGATCTGTTTAATTCTGTTATTTTGGCATAAACGGGTAATATGAATGATTTAGGCCCAATTTCACCAACATTAATATTATGGACCAATGGGAAAATACCTTATCGAACTGCAATTTGACAGAAGCTGTCAAAGGTCTCAGAATATCAGTGATTACTATTAAAATATTGAATAAAATCGTGAAAATTCGACTGTATTATAAACAAGACTACTTTTTGATTCCAACATGATGCTTTTGTTCAGAGAAAACAGATCAACTTCCATGCAATATCGTTAAATCGTCAACGTTCAACGATTTGACATATCTTAAGGTATCCATAAAACAAACAAAAAAACCTTCATAGTACTCGAGTATCGTTTTGTCGTAAATCGATATTATCTACTTCCTTTTCATTTAGCGAATAATTATTAGAATTTCATTTCGTTAAACAACTTTGTTATTAACGGGTATTATGGTGACATGTAAACAAAGCGCTCTCAGCGCCTCTATCGGTCATTAATGTAACTATTTTACGATCCGCACGGGTATTACGTATCTTGAAAGGTGGCATTTTGTCGTTTTTTTACATTTCGTAGGTTTTTTGATGTTAACTCAGCACTTTTCGTGAACTCGTTTTGTATATAACTGTACGTGTTGCCTAAACGTCAGCGAACAGCGATCATAGCGAGCAAACGACTAAAAACTACCTAGTCTGCAAGATGACATTTTGTCGTTTGCATTACGTATTGGGATATGAGATTTTTCTTGGAAGAAGCTATTGCAAATAGTATGTAGTTAATAAGATTACAATTTCTTTTGCGCGTACTTGATTTTGATCCATCCGCAAATGAGCAGCAATATTATTTTAAGGTTCGGTGCTGTTAATGTAGCTCACCTCCAACAAAGCACATGTTGTTGAACATTGTTATTGGCGAACTGAAGGCCAGTCCTGTTCCACCTACTGGATGTAGATCAATCATTGTTTGTATTGTATTTGGTGTGTATGTATATGTGTAAGTTATATAGTGTATGTATACATCGCGTATAGTAACAAACTGCTAGTCATCTGGTGAACAGAGAATATTTAGTAATAATACGAGCATGACGTCTTTTGGAAAATCTCAAGCTCGTCGTTGGTCGCGTCATCCTGAGCTTTAACTAACATTCGTCTGTTGTTGTATAAATATAGAGCTCAATCGATCTTTGAGCGGTCAATTGCCGGCACAGTCAGTACGCTTTTGCAGTGAAAGTGATTATTGTGAAAGATTACACTTCCAAAACTAATCTAAAAGTCAGGTACAAACGTCTAATATTAGTTTATTTTCAGAATTGAACGTCTAATAATTTGTGATTTATTGAATGGCTGACATTATTGATGATTTAGAGAATGATTTTGCTCAATTTACAAAATTATTAGAATATTAGAAATTTTACCGAACCGGAAACAATTTCATTGTAAATATTCAAAGATGCTCTGACAAACTGACACGTTTTAAAAAATAATAATTTATAGTTTCAAAATGCTTGAGCCTCCCTAGAAATGTTCATATATTCCAAAGTAATCAGAAATATCAAACAGTTCGAGCATGAAATTTGGATTTTTAATGTTGATATCCAAAAACCAACAGTATATCCAAACATTATCAGAAAATCAACAAAAGACGAACATGTCCATTATAAGTAACGGTCGCCAAACAAAGAAAGAAAGATTTTACGTCCGGTACATTTGAAGTTATATAGGAGCCAAATAAATTATATATAGTTTGAAAAAAGTTCGATATCAAATCGATCTAAAAAGTAGAAAATAATTTTCAATTATAAGAGAGTTTATGTCTGCAATAATCAAACAAGATCAATTAATTTGGAGGAATATGAATATAAATATTAAGATATTAATAAAACATTGAGTTGTAGTAAAAAAGCGTGGGGTACTTGATATTAAGTGTTATTTTTGTTAGTTGCTATTTACAAAATTGTAGTTATTATGAAAATACAGCTAATTGTACCTTATGCTTTGTTAGATAATTGAATTTTTTGTTATCTTAATTTTTATATTGATCCTATTGGAACGCGTTGTTTACGAGCAGCTCTGCGCCTACTTATATTCTAACAAATTATTCCATCTAAACAATCTGGATTTCGACAAAGTCATAATACATCTTCGGCACTCTATGATCTAACAGACAATATAACAATGGCACTTGATAACCAAAAAGCAGTAGCTCTCATACTTCTTGACTTTACTAAAGCATTTGACACCATTAATCACTCACTTCTTGTAACTAAATGCAGTTATTATGGATTTTCTGAAAAACCTCTTTCGTTTATTCAAACCTACCTTGAAAATCGGTATCAAAAAGTTCGTCTAAATTAACAGTACTCTACCGAACAAAAAATTTGTTCTGGTGTACCACAGGGATCAGTCTTAGGACCCCTATTGTTTTCATTATATATCTCAGATTTAGAAACAGAGGTAAAATCATGCAGCGTACAATTTTTTGTAGATGATACTCAAATTTTCTATTCATTTAGGAGTAATGACTTGGAAACAGCGAATAATAAAATTAATCAAGATCTTGCCCAAATTGAAAAGTTCAGTAGTAGTCATAATCTTCGTTTGAACCCTTTGAAGACAAATAGGTTGGTGTACGAAAATAGAATAAAAAAAATACCTTAAAAAAGCACATAGACATACATTTAAAAGGTAATAAATTAATTCCTGTGGATCATTCGAAAAACCTAGGTATTATAATAGATGATGACTTAAAATTTGTTGCACACGTGAACTATCTAATTACTCAGTGCTACGCTATTCTCAGAGTTTTATTTGCAAATAAGGCTATATTACATAAATCTGCGAGAAAGAAATAAGAATACAGGGTGTAAACGTTATGTTAGGCATTATTTAAATGGGTGATAGAGGGGATTAAAAGAAGCCAAAAGTTTCATATAACATATGGTACTAGTCTTTGGAACAGTTGCACAAATGTCCTTCTGACTGGGTGTACCCGTTGGAGAAATCTGTCGCGATACATTTGAGCTGCAAGATTTGAATTTTGACGAGTTTCACCGTAAACTAACAACATGTCGGCGAACACTTGATTCGAGAACATTGTAAAAATAAACACGACGACGAACGCGAACAAAAACAAAACAACATACTAACCACTGTTACCGTTTGCGATCAATTGCCGGTTCGATAAGAGTGATGACGACGCGCTGTTGTCATGTGTGTTTTAAATATTTAATATGTAGAATGAAACTTACTTACTTACTGACTACAAATTTCGGCTAAACTTAGAAAAACTAAATGCCATTTATTTGTTAATAACTCAATTTAAAAACGTGGTGATTGTGGTGAAATATAAAGCACTTAAAATTGTAAACTATAAAGCCATTTAGACAAAAATCCGTTGACTTTTGGACCATGGGTCATATGGACTTTTTGAGTTGTTTTGACCCCCCTATTACCCATTTCATTAATAACGTTTACACTCTGTATACATATTAGATGACTTCTATAATATACCTACCTAAATGCCTTTAGAAATCGGTAGAACTTCGGTGAAATTATTCAAAATTTTTTGAATGTTTAGCAAATGAACACATTTCTCATTCCTCTATACTAATGCTACTACACCTAGATAAGCTGCATCAATTTGTAAAGCAATGGTTCTGAAATCGTTTATATGGCATTGTGGTCTGGTTTTCTTATTTTGTGATTCGCGTGTGCGCGTCTTCGGTGCTTTTATCTTTCCCAGTATGGCAATGCCAAATGGCGGCCATTCCTCTTAATTAAATCTAAGGTTTATTGTTGCCATTCCACTCGTACAGATACACAATGAATCCGTTTTATTTCAGCGAAAAGATGCATTCAGAATCTTAAATACGATCCCGAACAAACGAACAGACGAACGGCACGGCGCCGACAAATGAACAGTATTTCGCTGACTGCGGCTCATTCGAATTTCTGTTCTGAAGCATTACCTACGATAAATAAAATTCGTTTCGATGAGCGCATCATGCGATGCGTAAACGTTAAGCTTGAATTCCTGCATCCGAAACATGTCTATTCTAGAAAACGAAACCTGCAATCTGCAATATTGAAACCAAAAAAATTTTTTCCGCAATGTATGCCCGAAAAAATTAAATACGGGAAAAGTAATCATAGAAAGGTGGTAGCTGTAGAATCATTTAAATGTTAAGTATTGTTAAAACAAAGGCGATTTGATCCTGTCGAGATAATCAGTTCTTTAATTTTTATTAACCCAGATATGCCTAGCGTACAATTTATGGTAATGGATGCTAATAATCGACTCGTCACAGAAGCGCTTACACGAGATAAATTTATGTGTATTATGTCAAATTTCCATTTAGTAGATAACTACAATTTGCCTCAAGGAGATAAGTTTGCAAAAATTAGACCTTTATTTGCGAGCCTGAAAAAAAATTTATGGAACATGGAATTTTGCCAGCAATGCATAGTGTAGATGAGGCAATGGTTCCTTATTTTGGGAGACACTCATGCAAACAGTTCATTCACGGAAAACTTATACGATACGGCTATAAATCATGGGTTGGCGCATCAAGATTAGGTTCCGTTTACTAGGTTGAGCCTTAAAAAGGGTCGTCAACCAACATTAGTAAGAATTATGCAGATTGGGGGGTTGGTGCTGGTGTGGTATTAGAGTATTCTGATGCACTGAGGAGAAAATAGCCAAACGAAAAATTTCATTTAGTTTTCGACAATTTTTTCACTTCTCTCCTTCTTATGGTAAAATTGACAGAAAAAAATTTCTTTACGACTGGTACTGCTAGAGAAAATCGTTTGCAAGGCGTCCCATTCAGAGATTCTAAAATTATGAAAACGGCAAAAAGATGTAGTTACGATTACAACAAAATTTCCGATACAAACATAATTGCGGTAAAATGGCATGACAATAATTTAGTAACACTCTGTTCAAATGCCGCAGGATTGGAATCAATTCCCTTTGTAAAGCGATACTCTCAAAAGGATAAAAAAGTATTCAGGTAAGAAACACAATCTGCCAGAAAATCAATGTTTTCAAAAATGCTTTTGATTTTAGGTAGAACAGCCTCAAATGCATACAACGCAAATATGGGCGGCGTTGATCGTTGTGATCAAAATATTGGTCTGTATCGCATTTCCATCCGGGGTAAAAAGTGGTATTTTTCATTGATCAGCCACTGTATTGATATGGCTGTTCATAATTCCTGGCAACTGTATAGATCGCACGGAGGACATATGGATCAATTATTATTTAGACGGCGGCTTGCCACAGCCTTGTTACAACAAAACAAGAAACCGCCATCTTTTTCTAGAGGACGCCCTTCGGCTAATGAATATATACCTGTAGATATTCGTTATGATCCTTTAGATCATTTTGTGATACCACAAGAAAAGCCAATAAGATGTGGCTTATGTTTTTGTGTCCTTCCATACTAAACCTTAATGTTCGCCTATGTGAATAGTGCACCATATTTTGTACGGAATTTTTTTACACTTTTTCCTAAAACAAAATTTAAAAAATAATAAATTTGTTTAATATATGCTTCATATATGTTAGAATGAATTTGCAGAGAACATACTTTATTATAATTTATTTGAGCTGTAGGCATATCTGGGTTAAGGCAATAATATTAGTCCAGGTAAAATTTTTATCAGATTAAGAACTACAGACCATATACCCATGTAACACGATAGTAACGTTTCAATCCTGTCAAGATAGCTTATTATTGAGGAACAAGGAGTGAATGGCTTTTTGATTAAACGTCTATGTACGGCTATTATTCTGGATCTTAAGCCAGTTTGAAATTCCTGAGAAATTGCAAATACAAGGACAACAGTCGCCTTACTAAGAATCACCCTCCAAAAGTTAATCCCACTTGTCGGTAGTGCAGATAATCGGATAACTTCAAAAGTTCAATTGGCCCTACTTCAGTTAATCCTTATTGGTACCCACTTCCATTTCACTTACAATATTACACTTGCCCTACAGGTATAATGATACAGCAAAAGTAGTATGTTAGCTACATAAATATCTATAGGTATCAGCTTTAAACCGCAACGGCATTTTAGTTAGTATTTTATCGAGCACTAGTAACTATCTGTTTATTTATGACGAGTTCAATCCTAAAACTTGATCAATATCACCGTATTTCAAGATTTGGATAACTTCAAAGTGGGAAAACTATTCATTTTGATTTCATAGTTTCAAAATAAGGTTATTTGAAGCCACCAGATGCTATGTATGTATGATTGTCTTTACCTCTGGTCTCAGATTTATTCATTCAATTTGTAAATCTTCAAGAATATGATTGTTCGTATCTGTTGAACTGCACTATAATATGCAACTAAATTAATTTTACATGCCTGGATGGGGGATGGATACCTAAAGTGAAGTGTTCGGCCATATAAATTGCTTCGCCCGAAGGTACAGACCCTAGAGTTACTTTTTCGATAGTCGTGTTCGAGTTTATTCCGTCTGGCGTTCGCGTTCTGTGGACTGTTTCGTGTGTATGTGTCCGGAAATAACTAGCCGAAATCATAAAACAACGGAAACGGCACTTGTGAAGGTAAGCGGAAGCAAAACGGCTCGGCATTCGCCATCCTACTACCGTAAAATTCTCTTTTCTAGCAACAGACGTTCGTTTTACGTGTTGCTTCAAATTCAACCCCTTTTACCTTGTTTCTATATTCGCCTTTTCACGTTGTTTGAACGATAAAATTATTTTCCGAATAGTAACCGCGTGAACATGGGTGCCCATTGGAGGGCGGGGCAACTGGGGCATATGCCCCCCCTGGATTCTGCTCTAAAGTGAAATATTCTTAAATTCTTAATAAGATATCCTTGGGTAAGAAGTGGAACATCACAACATAGAAGATACGCTTCCCGCGCGTGAATAATTTCATACAGCAAAAAATATATAATTGGTGAAATACACATGATTTGGAAACTGCATTATCGCATGACGTTCCTACCGAAAAATTATCAAGTACTCGATACGCTTTATCTTTCAAAGAAAAGCTCAGTATTTTATTTGTTTTTCCGACCGACTGATAATATACTAAGTGACATATAAATCCGAACACCCAGTTTAAATGGTTTTATTTTAATAAAATTTTGTATTGTACTTAATGAAGCATAATAAGTAAATGATAAAAATTCATCAGGTGGTCAATGTCCTCCTGTGGTATCTCATTCCAGGCAACTACCAACTCCTCTCGAAATGCTTCTAGAGTCTGAGGAGGACGTTGCAAATTGAGCAATCTCCTACCCATCATATCCCACACGTGCTCAATTGGGGATAAGTCGGGAGATCTTGTTGGCCATGGTAACAATGTAACATCATTATGTTGAAAGATGTCTATTGTGACTCTTGCAACATGTGGTCGGGCATTATCTTGTTGGAAAGTTGGATCTGCCAGGGTGTCAAGATACTAAGATAGGGTAAAAGATGGGGTTGTAGAACTTCGTGGATATAACGCTGCGCGTTCATGTTACCTCTGATGAAGATTAAAGGTGACCTGGAACCATAAGCTATAGCACCCCAAACCATAACTCCAACAGTGTGATAAACATGTCTTTCAACAAAAAACTGTGGATTCCTCCTTTCACCACGTCGCCTTCTAACCCTTACACCGACGTAATCGCCTTGAGTGGTGCAGACAACGGTCACTCTGGGATCAGGAATGGAACAGTATTGTCTTTAGTGACGAGTATCGATTTTGTTTAGGCATGCACGATGGTCGTGCCAGGGTTAGAAGGCGACGTGGTAAAAGGAGGAATCCACAGTTTTTTGTTGAAAGACATGTTCATCACACTGTTGGAGTTATGGTTTGGGGTGCTATAGCTTATGGTTCCAGGTCACCTTTAATCTTCATCAGAGGTAACATGAACGCGCAGCGTTATATCCACGAAGTTCTACAACCCCATCTTTTACCCTATCTTGACACCCTGGCAGATCCAACTTTCCAACAAGATAATGCCCGACCTCATGTTGCAAGAGTCACAATAGACTTCTTTCAACATAATGATGTTACATTGTTACCATGGCCACCAAGATCTCCCGACTTATCCCCAATTGAGCACGTGTGGGATATGATGGGTAGGAGATTGCTCAATTTGCAACGTCCTCCTCAGACTCTAGAAGCACTTCGAGAGGAGTTGGTGGTTGCCTGGAATGAGATACCACAGAAGGACATTGACCACCTGATCAGAAGCATGCCTAGGCGCGTTGGAGAATGCGTATCACATCAGGGTGCATCCACACATTATTAAAGGTCAAAGGGCTCTAAAGCAGTGCAATAATTTTGAAATTTTTATCATTTACTTATTATGCTTCATTAAGTACTTATACAAAGTTTTATTAAAGTAAACCCATTTAAACTGGATGTTCGGATTTATATGTCACTTAGTATACTATTAAAAACGTTAACTTTTTAACATAGTGTAACGTAAGCTTAATGAATTATATACATTGATATAGTGTATTATGGTTCACAAGAGGTACATTTTTTTATCTATCGCACTGGCGTTTGACTTATCTCCCTTTTATAGTATTCAACAAAACATTAATAAAAGTGGAGATTAAAATCGTAATAAACATATACATTTACAGCGTACTATAAAGTACATGGAATGGTACAGAACTTTAGTCAATACCGACAATACAATTCTAAGAAACACTTAAATAATTCAATGAACTTTACATCATACCGTAGTTAGTCATCTGACAGCAATGGTTTACAACAACAGCTGCTATAAAACAAATGACAAATTTGCCTTGTGATATACTTGGTCGATGTTTTGAAGGGTACATCGACTGTGTTGCATCTGTAGCGAAGATTGTTCTATTATAGCATGGCGACCAAACTCCTGACGCTTGCATTCATCATAGCCACATCCTACCAAGCCGTAACTGCACAGACTCAGCGAAATACTTTCGAAATTTTAGAACGTATAAGAAGAGGCTATGCGCATGCTCTACCAAAGGAAATAAATGCAGGTTAGTCACAATTTCGGCTGGACACTTTAGCGCATATCGCAAATATTTCATTTCTTATTTTAAAATGGAAGATTAGGATGTAACTTGCACGAAAATATAATTTTTTAAAGGAACCCTATGTTTGCTATTTTGTAGAACTTCAAAGTTGCATTTTGGATGATAATGGTGTGGTATAGAATACTGCTTTATAAGCTGTTTTCTTCTTGTTTATACAAAAGATTGTTCAAAATTACAGGGTGACTTCGAAGTTGAGTCATTTATTTTAACAGTGAGTAGATCTGATCAAAAGAAATGTTTTTTTCCTTTACCATTTTTCTGGTAAAATTAAAGTAACAAAGTTATAGCCCTTTAGAAGTTTGAGTACCGCCCTGTCTCAATAATAATATTATGTGCTCGTGTTTGGCAACAACGGATATAATCCGCCTTATCGGTTCATCGCATCGGAAACAAAAAAGCGAAAGAATTTGTAACGATGTTTTTACAATTATTTTATTCAGTTGTATACAGTCAGTGTCAGTCGGTAACGCGTGAGTGAATAGTGGTGTCTTTTGCGTGGCTCAAACGAAATAAAAAATAGCACATGTTTACGAAAATGCTGAACTTGTGGACATGATTCTTATTTATGCGGCATCACGGATTTATGCGAATCGGTTTCCCAATCGAGTGCAACCAACCCCTCGTGCCTTTGTTAATGTAGTACATAGGGCTCGTGAATCAGGTGACTTAAGACCTCACAGGGAAGTAAAAAAAGACAGCATATAAACCAGTCTAGAGTATTACCACCAAAAATGCAACTTCGAAGTTCTATAAAATAGCAAGCAGAGGATTCCTTGAAGAAAACATGATATTTTCGTAAAAGTTAAGTACATCCTAATCTTTCATTTTAAAGTAAGACATGAAATATTTGCGATACGCGCTAAAGTATAGTCTTACCACAATTTCTGTGAGGTTAATGAGTTTTAAACTCGCGTGTATGTTTAATTTGCTCTCAATACATTGAATTTCATTGCATTTTTAAAGTCTAAAGTATGATATTTCTCAAGTTTCACGAATTCATCCAAGTATAATGTATCTTGTGTAATATTATTATGTGAAAAACGTTTTTTTTTTGCTAATTTCAGATCCCAGTAATGTGTTCTCTCTGTGGAAACCATGGCCGTACGCCCTCAGTAGACCATATTTTATCCCCGTGTACGGCGAAGAAGGCAAGTCCCCCATATACTTCCCCCCTCAGCCGTTTTCGTCGAACCCTGGAACGCCTCCTGACAATCCCGTTAAGAAGAAACGGCCCTTTAAGGGGCCGCAGTATCTTCCGCCAGACAAGCCTGCTACCGACGGTATGAAGATCGGAAACAGGTTAGTTACTAATTTTCTGTAATAAGTTTGTTGATGTTATTTTTTAAGGTGCTTGATTCAGCTTGACTGCATATTATTTTTTCCAGATTTCAAGGTGACGATGAAGACGAAGACGTTCGTCCGGTGTGGGGCACTAATCCGCCTGAACTGTCACTCAGACCTATACGACCACCAGGCTTCAATACAGTTCCGTTGTCGGTCGACGATAATGAAATAGAGGTATGTACATACAGGGTGTAAACGTTATGGTAGTCTACAGTAACATTGTGTAAAAAATTCATTAAAATCAGAGCGGCACTTCTCAAGTTATAGGCGTGTCCGATAGACACACACACACCGACAGAAATAAGTAAAAATGTTTTTTCGTCATTCTAAATCCAATTTATCATTTATTTTGTTCAGCCTCCTCCTCCTCCTGCTGGGAAAAAGCGTCCTCGTCCATCAGATGAAACACCAACGACAACGCCAGGGTCAACCGCCACCAGCAGCAGTACATCTTTACCTGGCCCTAGCAACTGCGTCTGGGCCGTTGTGTCCTGTTGCAGCGTGAACACGAAAGCGGTGCCTGAGAGTTGCTTCGAGCAAAGGGGCTGCGCGGGGCCTTTCTGGGGGACCAGCCCGTGCGAAGGAGACTTTGCCAAGGCGGCCATTGACGCCGCACTCAAATATTATGGCGGCGTAAACGCGTGAATAACACTGTGAGCATAAGTTGTATTTCTGTAGCTCGAAGGTAAACAGTTTTATGTCCAATACAATTCTGAATTATTCGACGATATTAAGCGCATCGCTTAATATCACCCTCTTAAGATCACCATCTTTTGTTTTGGTTTGGTAGGCATTGGTACGAGATGCGAATTTGTCGTATGACGTCGACGCGGTTTTTCCGGTTTTTTTCCGGGTTCGCGAAACGTTCGGAAGGAAAGCGATACCGTTTCGGAAACTAGAAACTCGGCGCTTTACGGACGAGCGAGGCCGTCGCGGTAGGAGAAAGAAGCGCGATCGAAAACGGCCGGTAAAGTCGAAAAGGGATAGATTTTCGTGCTGTTCGACGTTCACTTTCGATCTCCTCCGAAGATAAAGGAGCTACGAACCTGACGATTTTTGCGTGAGAAAGCCCGGACGTCGGACTCAAAGATAGCGTCTTTATTTTTTTCTTTATCTCTTTTCGTTCGAAAATTTAGATTTATTTTAATTCCTCGACTACGCGCTACTTTCCGATTTTTCCGGTTTTTTTCCGGGTTCGCGAAACGTTCTGAAGGAAAACGATACCGTTCCGGAAACTAGAAACTCGGCGCTTTACGGACGAGCGAGAGCCGCCGCGGTAGGAGGAAGAAACGCGATCGAAAACAGCCGGTAAAGTCGAAAAAGGGATAGATTTTCGTGCTTTTCGACGTTCACTTTCGATCTCCTCCGAAGATAAAGGAGCTACGAACCTAACGATTTCTGCGTAAAAAAGCCCGGACGTCGGACTCAAAGATAGCGTCTTTATTTTTTTCTTTATCTCTTTTCGTTCGAAAATTTAGATTTTTTTTAATTCCTCGACTACGCGCTACTTTCCGATTTTTCCGGTTTTTTTTCCGGGTTCGCGAAACGTTCTGAAGGAAAACGATACCGTTCCGGAAACTAGAAACTCGGCGCTTTACGGACGAGCGAGAGCCGCCGCGGTAGGAGGAAGAAACGCGATCGAAAACAGCCGGTAAAGTCGAAAAAGGGATAGATTTTCGTGCTTTTCGACGTTCACTTTCGATCTCCTCCGAAGATAAAGGAGCTACGAACCTAACGATTTCTGCGTAAAAAAGCCCGGACGTCGGACTCAAAGATAGCGTCTTTATTTTTTTCTTTATCTCTTTTCGTTCGAAAATTTAGATTTTTTTTAATTCCTCGACTACGCGCTACTTTCCGATTTTTCCGGTTTTTTTCCGGGTTCGCGAAACGTTCGGAAGGAAAACGATACCGTTCCGGAAACTAGAAACTCGGCGCTTTACGGACGAGCGAGAGCCGTCGCGGTAGGAGGAAGAAACGCGATCGAAAATGGCCGGTAAAGTCGAAAAAGGGATAGATTTTCGTGTTGTTCGACATTCACTTTCGATCTCCTCCGAAGATAAAGGAGCTACGAACCTAACGATTTCTGCGTAAAAAAGCCCGGACGTCGGACTCAAAGATAGCGTCTTTATTTTTTTCTTTATCTCTTTTCGTTCGAAAATTTAGATTTTTTTTAATTCCTCGACTACGCGCTACTTTCCGATTTTTCCGGTTTTTTTCCGGGTTCGCGAAACGTTCGGAAGGAAAACGATACCGTTCCGGAAACTAGAAACTCGGTGCTTTACGGACGAGCGAGAGCCGTCGCGGTAGGAGGAAGAAACGCGATCGAAAATGGCCGGTAAAGTCAAAAAAGGGATAGATTTTCGTGTTGTTCGACATTCACTTTCGATCTCCTCCGAAGATAAAAGAGCTACGAACCTGACGATTTTTGCGTGAGAAAGCCCGGACGTTGGACTCAAAGATAGCGTCTTTCTTTTTCTTTCTTTATCCCTTTTCGTTCGAAAATTTCGATTTTTTGGAATTCCTCGACTACGCGCTACTTTCCGATTTTTCCGGTTATTTTTCCGGGTTCGCGAAACGTTCTGAAGGAAAACGATACCGTTCCGGAAACTAGAAACTCGGCGCTTTACGGACGAGCGAGAGCCGCCGCGGTAGGAGGAAGAAACGCGATCGAAAATGGCCGGTAAAGTCGAAAAAGGGATAGATTTTCGTGTTGTTCGACATTCACTTTCGATCTCCTCCGAAGATAAAAGAGCTACGAACCTGACGATTTTTGCGTGAGAAAGCCCGGACGTTGGACTCAAAGATAGCGTCTTTCTTTTTCTTTCTTTATCCCTTTTCGTTCGAAAATTTCGATTTTTTGGAATTCCTCGACTACGCGCTACTTTCCGATTTTTCCGGTTATTTTTCCGGGTTCGCGAAACGTTCTGAAGGAAAACGATACCGTTCCGGAAACTAGAAACTCGGCGCTTTACGGACGAGCGAGAGCCGCCGCGGTAGGAGGAAGAAACGCGATCGAAAACAGCCGGTAAAGTCGAAAAAGGGATAGATTTTCGTGCTTTTCGACGTTCACTTTCGATCTCCTCCGAAGATAAAGGAGCTACGAACCTAACGATTTCTGCGTAAAAAAGCCCGGACGTCGGACTCAAAGATAGCGTCTTTATTTTTTTCTTTATCTCTTTTCGTTCGAAAATTTAGATTTTTTTTAATTCCTCGACTACGCGCTACTTTCCGATTTTTCCGGTTTTTTTCCGGGTTCGCGAAACGTTCTGAAGGAAAACGATACCGTTCCGGAAACTAGAAACTCGGCGCTTTACGGACGAGCGAGAGCCGCCGCGGTAGGAGGAAGAAACGCGATCGAAAACAGCCGGTAAAGTCGAAAAAGGGATAGATTTTCGTGCTTTTCGACGTTCACTTTCGATCTCCTCCGAAGATAAAGGAGCTACGAACCTAACGATTTCTGCGTAAAAAAGCCCGGACGTCGGACTCAAAGATAGCGTCTTTATTTTTTTCTTTATCTCTTTTCGTTCGAAAATTTAGATTTCTTTTAATTCCTCGACTACGCGCTACTTTCCGATTTTTCCGGTTTTTTTCCGGGTTCGCGAAACGTTCGGAAGGAAAACGATACCGTTCCGGAAACTAGAAACTCGGCGCTTTACGGACGAGCGAGAGCCGTCGCGGTAGGAGGAAGAAACGCGATCGAAAATGGCCGGTAAAGTCGAAAAAGGGATAGATTTTCGTGTTGTTCGACATTCACTTTCGATCTCCTCCGAAGATAAAGGAGCTACGAACCTAACGATTTCTGCGTAAAAAAGCCCGGACGTCGGACTCAAAGATAGCGTCTTTATTTTTTTCTTTATCTCTTTTCGTTCGAAAATTTAGATTTTTTTTAATTCCTCGACTACGCGCTACTTTCCGATTTTTCCGGTTTTTTTCCGGGTTCGCGAAACGTTCGGAAGGAAAACGATACCGTTCCGGAAACTAGAAACTCGGCGCTTTACGGACGAGCGAGAGCCGTCGCGGTAGGAGGAAGAAACGCGATCGAAAATGGCCGGTAAAGTCGAAAAAGGGATAGATTTTCGTGTTGTTCGACATTCACTTTCGATCTCCTCCGAAGATAAAGGAGCTACGAACCTAACGATTTCTGCGTAAAAAAGCCCGGACGTCGGACTCAAAGATAGCGTCTTTATTTTTTTCTTTATCTCTTTTCGTTCGAAAATTTAGATTTTTTTTAATTCCTCGACTACGCGCTACTTTCCGATTTTTCCGGTTTTTTTCCGGGTTCGCGAAACGTTCGGAAGGAAAACGATACCGTTCCGGAAACTAGAAACTCGGCGCTTTACGGACGAGCGAGAGCCGTCGCGGTAGGAGGAAGAAACGCGATCGAAAATGGCCGGTAAAGTCGAAAAAGGGATAGATTTTCGTGTTGTTCGACATTCACTTTCGATCTCCTCCGAAGATAAAGGAGCTACGAACCTAACGATTTCTGCGTAAAAAAGCCCGGACGTCGGACTCAAAGATAGCGTCTTTATTTTTTTCTTTATCTCTTTTCGTTCGAAAATTTAGATTTTTTTTAATTCCTCGACTACGCGCTACTTTCCGATTTTTCCGGTTTTTTTCCGGGTTCGCGAAACGTTCGGAAGGAAAACGATACCGTTCCGGAAACTAGAAACTCGGCGCTTTACGGACGAGCGAGAGCCGTCGCGGTAGGAGGAAGAAACGCGATCGAAAATGGCCGGTAAAGTCGAAAAAGGGATAGATTTTCGTGTTGTTCGACATTCACTTTCGATCTCCTCCGAAGATAAAGGAGCTACGAACCTAACGATTTCTGCGTAAAAAAGCCCGGACGTCGGACTCAAAGATAGCGTCTTTATTTTTTTCTTTATCTCTTTTCGTTCGAAAATTTAGATTTTTTTTAATTCCTCGACTACGCGCTACTTTCCGATTTTTCCGGTTTTTTTCCGGGTTCGCGAAACGTTCGGAAGGAAAACGATACCGTTCCGGAAACTAGAAACTCGGCGCTTTACGGACGAGCGAGAGCCGTCGCGGTAGGAGGAAGAAACGCGATCGAAAATGGCCGGTAAAGTCGAAAAAGGGATAGATTTTCGTGTTGTTCGACATTCACTTTCGATCTCCTCCGAAGATAAAGGAGCTACGAGCCTAACGATTTCTGCGTAAAAAAGCCCGGACGTCGGACTCAAAGATAGCGTCTTTATTTTTTTCTTTATCTCTTTTCGTTCGAAAATTTAGATTTTTTTTAATTCCTCGACTACGCGCTACTTTCCGATTTTTCCGGTTTTTTTCCGGGTTCGCGAAACGTTCGGAAGGAAAACGATACCGTTCCGGAAACTAGAAACTCGGCGCTTTACGGACGAGCGAGAGCCGTCGCGGTAGGAGGAAGAAACGCGATCGAAAATGGCCGGTAAAGTCGAAAAAGGGATAGATTTTCGTGCTTTTCGACGTTCACTTTCGATCTCCTCCGAAGATAAAGGAGCTACGAACCTAACGATTTCTGCGTAAAAAAGCCCGGACGTCGGACTCAAAGATAGCGTCTTTATTTTTTTCTTTATCTCTTTTCGTTCGAAAATTTAGATTTTTTTTAATTCCTCGACTACGCGCTACTTTCCGATTTTTCCGGTTTTTTTCCGGGTTCGCGAAACGTTCGGAAGGAAAACGATACCGTTCCGGAAACTAGAAACTCGGCGCTTTACGGACGAGCGAGAGCCGTCGCGGTAGGAGGAAGAAACGCGATCGAAAATGGCCGGTAAAGTCGAAAAAGGGATAGATTTTCGTGTTGTTCGACATTCACTTTCGATCTCCTCCGAAGATAAAGGAGCTACGAACCTAACGATTTCTGCGTAAAAAAGCCCGGACGTCGGACTCAAAGATAGCGTCTTTATTTTTTTCTTTATCTCTTTTCGTTCGAAAATTTAGATTTTTTTTAATTCCTCGACTACGCGCTACTTTCCGATTTTTCCGGTTTTTTTCCGGGTTCGCGAAACGTTCGGAAGGAAAACGATACCGTTCCGGAAACTAGAAACTCGGCGCTTTACGGACGAGCGAGAGCCGTCGCGGTAGGAGGAAGAAACGCGATCGAAAATGGCCGGTAAAGTCGAAAAAGGGATAGATTTTCGTGTTGTTCGACATTCACTTTCGATCTCCTCCGAAGATAAAGGAGCTACGAACCTAACGATTTCTGCGTAAAAAAGCCCGGACGTCGGACTCAAAGATAGCGTCTTTATTTTTTTCTTTATCTCTTTTCGTTCGAAAATTTAGATTTTTTTTAATTCCTCGACTACGCGCTACTTTCCGATTTTTCCGGTTTTTTTCCGGGTTCGCGAAACGTTCTGAAGGAAAACGATACCGTTCCGGAAACTAGAAACTCGGTGCTTTACGGACGAGCGAGAGCCGCCGCGGTAGGAGGAAGAAACGCGATCGAAAACAGCCGGTAAAGTCGAAAAAGGGATAGATTTTCGTGCTTTTCGACGTTCACTTTCGATCTCCTCCGAAGATAAAGGAGCTACGAACCTAACGATTTCTGCATAAAAAAGCCCGGACGTCGGACTCAAAGATAGCGTCTTTATTTTTTCTTTATCTCTTTTCGTTCGAAAATTTAGATTTTTTTTAATTCCTCGACTACGCGCTACTTTCGGATTTTTCCGGTTTTTTTCCGGGTTCGCGAAACGTTCGGAAGGAAAACGATACCGTTTCGGAAACTGGAAACTCGGCACTTTACGGACGAGCGAGAGCCGTCGCGGTAGGAAGAAGAAACGCGATCGAAAACGGCCGGTAAAGTCGAAAAAGGGATAGATTTTCGTGCTGTCCGAAGATAAAGGAGCTACGAACCTGACGATTTTTGCGTGAGAAAGCCCGGACGTTGGACTCAAAGATAGCGTCTTTTTTTTCTCTTTATCCCTTTTCCTTCGAAAGTTTCGATTTTTTAAAATTGCTCTACTATATGCTACTTTTCGATGCGTGAAAATGTCACTTTGTTTTCCGGCTCTATCCTCGTCGATTACTACTATACGTAAGCGAGTAAAAATTATACAGCTATCGAAAAATAACGATAATGAGCTGAGGAAACGATTTTGACCGTTTGAATTCCCGTCAAATCATTATTAAATTACATTATTTTGGCTTGACATTGTTGCAAAAATCGTAAGCATCAGATTGTTGGTTATCCAGATTTGTAATTATGAAAATGTAATACGACCATCATTAAATGTATGTTGATATTCTTACTGCTTTTGCTCATTAATCGAAACATTGTTTTTTTGACTTACGACTATTTACCTCTTTGCTAAAAATTTGTAATTCGGAAATTGTGTTTAGAAATCTGGAAGTCAGGTTATGCTGAAATTTTTTTGAAATTGTGTTGACGTGTTCTTTGCGTTTTATTTCGGCTAAGGTGTAGATAAAAAATGTTATCATTAACAAAGTAAACAAAGAACAAACCCCCTAAGCCTTGACTACACATATCATAATTTAAGAAGTAGGTACTAGCACAATCGTACAAATCAGAAACCGGTTGCGGATTCATCTCAAATTTGCATGTGCGCAGTTGGTAGCTGTGACCCTGTGACCATCATTTATTTTGCTCTGCCAATGAAACTAATACTATATAATATTAATTTAAAAAAAATTGAGACAAGAAGTCTCAATTCTCACGTATCTCAGGTTTGAAACTTTTTCGGAAGCAATATGTAGCTCAAAATACGTTGAAACAATAGGATTGCTTTTATCCAAAAAATGTCAGGATCCTTAGAAATCTTCTTAAATATCGAAATTTCCAAAAAGTTGGTTATTTTTCTAATTGATATTTTTCGATTTTATAGGTTTGAACGCGCAAAATGGGTCAACAACCAAACATGCCGAGCTACATTGACGATGGCTTATTGGCAGATTTTAGCAAGCATCAATTGATGTTAGTGGATCACACAGTGTTTAACGAACTGTATATTTATGTACATACTTCTCTATAATATGCATGTGTCTGTGTGTTTATTTATTGTGTCACATATCAATAATTTTAGGGATATTTTAGCTTAGCAACATAATTACGTACTATTACATGTTACAGTTGTATAATAGATTATAATTTGACGATGTATGCTTTATTTTATATCGTCGATGACCTAGTGGCGATACCACGTATCATCAAATTTTTCGAAATATTATTTTAATATCGGTTGCACGCTGATGGATCTGTTTTTCATACCCGTTTCAGATCGAAAATTGCTAGACGAATTCAATCAAATCGAATTCTTCAAAGTCATCCTGATTATGTTTTTAATCGTGGATTATTTGATAGTACACAGCGCTGCCAACCACACGAGTCTTTATAAATGTATTGTGGATCCGATTTCGAGCCGATTCTCATACTCAGAAACCGTCTTGTTGAATACTGTAGTTCTATCAGAGTTTCATTAAATTAAATATTTAAAACACACATGACAACAGCGCGTCGTCATCACTCTTATCGAACCGGCAATCGATCGCAAACGGTAACAGTAGTTAGTATGTTGTTTTGTTTTTGTTTGCGTACGTCGTCGTGTTTATTTACAATGTTCTCGAATCAAGAGTTCGCCGACATGTTGTTAGTTTACGGTGACGCTCGTCAGAATTCAAATCTTGCAGCTCAAATGTATCGCGACAGATTTCGCCAACGGGTACACCCAGACAGAACGACATTTGGGCAAGCGTACCAAAAACCTCGAGATACAGGAAGTGTTCAGCCCACTAATATTCGCACTCGTGAAAGACAGGTTACTGTACTTCGTGGAAATCAATGCAGATATCAGCTCTCTGGAATTAGGCCGCCGCCTAGGACTATCGCATACCATATTCCATAGAATGATACGGGAAAAGCTCGTGCGAAAAGTGGAGGACGACATTTTGAACACCTTCTTTAAATACAAAAAATCCGACCATTTATTCTGAATGTAAAACGACTATCAATAATAATACGGATTAAATACCAGATACCAGGTATCGTTGAGGCTATTTTCATTTTTTAAGATTCAATATTTTCGTGTTTCTCGTCTTTTGATGTATGTATGTATTTTGCTTCAGTTAAACTGATTATCTATGATATACAAAGAGCCAAATACTTTTCCCGTTCTAAGCGTTTAATACGTGCTATTTTCGATAGTGCGAGCCATGAACCGATAATAAAAATTGACTTTTTGTATTTCCTTGGAAAAATAGCCAATTGAAACTACTTGTTGGTATTACCGCCAGAACATCGATATGGTATTTACTATGAATTGTTGATGTGTTACCAGTAAATGCTCGATATTTGATTGGATTTCGGAATGAATAATGAACTCATTTCCTATGCATATGTACAAGTTTGACAATTTGAGCAATCCTGTCAAATTCAGCATAAACATCCGGTATTTCACCCGCGAGCGCTTTTATAAAGAAAACTGGATTTTCTCAAAGTACACTAAAGACAAGTCGTTTGTAGATCTCACTCGAAGAGGGCAGCATGTACTCGCAGACACTAAACAAATCTCACAGCCCCGAGCAAAGTGTTCGACACACATTCGTCTAGCTATGTGGCAATTGGCTTCCACAAATGTGCACACATACGGCTCGTATCGGCAACAACCGACTGTTTAGTTGTTCTTTTATTTGCAAAACCCGATGAAATTGGAAGCTGCCGCTAGAACCGATAAAACACTCTAGGTGCCCTCGGCAGGTATTGCTGTTTGCTATTATTTACATTATTACTGCACTACGTATACATACCGATGTTACATTGTAAATATACAGTGTGGCAGAAATAATCACGATTCATTAGCTAAGGATCTTAACGCAAATGCTGTTAGATACTCAACGTTGTACACACGATGAAACTTGTACAGGGACCGGAACAGGTCAGGACGAAAATAATATGAAAATATAACGATTTTTTTCGGAAATATGAAGAAATATAAACTTTAAAAAAAATATGAAGGTTTTTTTTTTAACCAAGTATTAGTGCAAATTGCAAATAATATATTTTTTAGTAATAATTCCCTATCAAATGGTCGGTTAAGTCAAATTCAGCTTTTTTCAAAATAAATTTTTAACGAAAATACTACTATAGTAAACAGAAAAAAGTGGAACTTGACCTGGATGGGGAATGGCCTACTAAACTATTAATTTATTAGAAACTTGTTTAGGAACAGAAACAAGTCCAAAACATTGAAGTCTACTTTAAGCTTTAAATCAATAAATCTCTTTAAAACTACTGAACTGAAGCTCATGTATTTTACATCATTATAAAGGGAATTGAAAGACCTTTAAAATAAGGTATCACTCGAAACCCCTTTCCATTTAAGATTTTAGGGTTGGTGTCACACGTGTTAACGTGATTTTTTGCCAAACTTGTGTCCCCCTCGAAAACAAAATCGACGGGACTGAGCGTTTTTCCAAAAAAAACTGAGCTGCCAGTAAATGCGTCTGTTTCGTTTTCGATGCGACACCCTGTATAGTTATGATATAGCAGTATCGACACCTCTACCGATTAGTTATACTTCTCTGTGGACGAATTTGCAAGGTATATTCGGGGCCTGCGCAGCTTCAATGATGATGTGATTATTCATTCTAATCTACCTCATTATTTTCGATATTAGTTCAATCTGTCACGTATGAAGTGTAACATTCCATGACAAAATGGAATATGTGGCAACACCGCAATCTTATATCTCAATACTCAATAACGCTAAGAGTGAGAGGTGGCTAGCAGCCTGTTAACCTCAAATTCTCAACTGTTAGCATGAATGATTCTTTGCTTTTTAAACTTCAAATTGTTGTTTTAAACTTTAAATTGTCGTTTTAAACTTATACGATATTATTTGTGTCTCGCGTTACAAATGCTGCGTTCCTAATTGTGCCGGTAATTCCGCGAAAGTTCCGATAGTACACGTATTTTCGTTCCCAGTGAATGAAAACGGGGGGCGCAAAAGATGACTCAATGCCATCCCTCGTAGTGATTTGATGATTACAAAAAACACCAGAATATGCAGTTTGCACTTTGGGAATCCATCTTCCATGATGAAAAGACAGATAGTATCTTTACTGTACCCCTTGAGTCTACAAAATGAATGGCAGATGCGATTCCAAACATCTTTGCAAATTGCCCAAAATACCTTTGAAATGACATATCAAACAGAAGAAGCCGAGTTGAAAAATTGAGGGAGAAGTAACAAGAACAACTACTTAAAGCACTGCAAAGTAGCATTGATGATTATTCCTGCTACCAAAAATCAACAAGCTTTCAAAATTATTCAGACTTTCTAACAGTTTTCAGTTCATGGCAATGCCCAGAGCTGTGGCACAAAGTTATTCAGGATAAAGTTACTTTGTTTAAGTTAGAATATAAACCAGCACCTATCATAACGCACTCTGTAATTGTTGATAAAGATCTCAATGTAAAAACGTATATGTACTTCCAAGAGTTGTCACTCAATTCAGATAATATTAAGACTCCATTTTGATTATCTAATATCCATTCGGATGATGTTCTTGTTCAGAATGTAGATGCTTCGAGGGAATATTCAGGTAAAAATCAATCCATAGCCACTATTAATCTTGCTTACAATATTTTGAATAGCACAGAACTATTCACCGATGAAGAGACACGCAATGTCATGCGATTTATATGTGGTAACGATAGAGCGTGAGCCGGTTATCGATGATTTGCCGTGACACTTCATCCGTTTCGACATTGATTCACTTAGTGTTACCACCATTTACCATCAATACACGCAACATCATATTCATCGAACGTAAAACTGAAACGCAAAATAGCGCATGATGCACCACTTTGGGACGGCCGAAATTCGAAAGCGTCGCCGCTGTGTATCATAAATAAAAAAATGTTACTGCTTTTCAACGACGGGATTGCGAATTGCGATTGGTTGTAAGCCCCTGCGATCGTCAGCAATATTTTCCAATTATCGGCGGGACGTCCGACTCTCTTTAATATATTACCATCAAATTACGCTAGACTGAAAGCAAAAGCTCAGTTCGTACTACATCCTATATTCTTACGTCAACCATCGTGTTTCACTCTTCTTACTTTCCACAAGTTTATTGAACGTATTAAAAAAATCCACTTAATAGGGCAAGAGTTGAAACAAAGTGACCTCTTCGATATCATTTCTCTGTGTGGGCTCTTAATCAATTGGAAACGGACGTCAATTTTGGTCGCCAAATCATATTTTCGAACGAAACCCATTTCCATCTGGGAGGTTACGTTAACAAACAGAAAGAACTGTAGGATTCGGAGTACTGAAAAGAGTAACTATTTGGTGTGGCTTTTAGAGTGGTGAGATTATTGGTCCCTACTATTTTCAAGATGAAGATAACAACAGCGTGACGGTAAACGGGGAACGCTATAGATACATGTTGAGGAGTTTTTTTGTGGACACTATTAGGCGACATACACATGCACAATTTCACACCAGCCGTGAAACAATCGATCTTTTACACACCAAGTTCGGTTATCACGTTATCAGCCGTTCTGTAGACGATCATTGGCCAGCCCGCAGCTGTGCTTTGACGCCCATGGATTACTTCCTATGGGGTACTTACTGTTACGGACCGCTGTTACACTAACAACGATCCTCAAACAATTGATGTTCTTAAGGAAAATGTCCGTCGTGCTATTGATGAAATAGACCCACAAACTATCGAAAATGTGATTGGGTTATGAGGACGGCAGCTATTTAACTGAAATTGTTCTTCATAAATAATCGGTGTATCCTTTTGAATAAAGTATCGAGTGTTACATATTATTGAAGAGTGTAGTTTTAATACCAATTGAAAAAAGAAACAAGCGGATGGCCCACTCTATACTATGCAAAATGCGAGGTTATTGATTTTGATCTTTGTTGCTTTGTACTCATTTAGATGAATTTCCGCCAAGAATATTCTGATACAGGTAAAGTGTATGTACAAAGTGGTTGTTTGGCAGTTCAGCTACAAAATCTAGTTTAATCTTTCTAAGTGCAGAAGACGGTTACGATTTTCCTGTCGAGTCGTAGTGGGGCACCGTACAGTTCGAGCTCAACCGCTACCATATATACTCGTAAAAGGATATACGGAATTTAGACAAGGCGCTAGATGGAATTGAGTTTACAAAATGTGAATAAATATCAACTGAGAAGAGGACAAAGGATAAAAATGCGAATCTTGCCGGACCACTTTTTTAACCCAGACATTGGTTGCAATCCTTCGGCATTTGAACAGAGTGTTACTAAATTATTGTCATGCCATTTTACTGCAATTCAATTATAACTATTTTTAAAATGCATTCTAACGTTGTCATTAAAAAAAGGCTGTTAGCTTTTACAACCGACGATGCGCTCAAAATAAAAGGACGCATTCATTATACCTAGACTGATGCCAAAAATACCGAAGAATAAATGTGTGAACTTTGAACTATTCAACTCCGACGTGACTCCGAGTAGCACGTCTCTAGGCTCTAGGGGATAAATGGTAAGTTGGATGCTACGTGTGTGTCAACAGGAGAAGTTGTTTTCGACAAGGCCGGATTTTGCTATACGGTTTCACTTGGAAAGAGTTCGTCCGTTCGGTGAATTGGCTGTTGAAATGCCAAGGGGACAGATGCAGCACCTTTCGTATATCAAAAATTAAATAAATCTTTAAGGCACTAGCTATATAGTGACAGTCGCTAGATTCAATCCACTGACATGGAAGGAAAACAGCCGATGTTCAGTAAACTTCCTTTACTTTCTGTACGAGCCCCTTCCCACTTCAGTTGGCCCAACTATTGAAATCTTAGTTTTTTTTCTTATCAAACACAAATAATAAAAATGTAGCAGGGTGCTGTAGGTTTAAAATATTAAAAATGAATATTTTGATAATATATAGTAGAAAACATCAACTTTATCACTCCCTAATCAAATTTGCCGCATAAAAATAACACATGTTGCAATTACAGCATATCAACCTATTTTCACTTCAATGCAAAATAAGTCTATAACGCATAGGTGGCTGTGAAAAATAAAAGCCATGACAATTGTTTTTATTAATGACAGCTGTCATAATACGTTTAAAATAGTTTTGGGTAGTTAGGGTTTTCAAAATGGGTAGAGGAAAGGTTATTAATGAGAAAATTCGGTTACCATTATGGTCTGGGGCAGTATGTCAACAAAAGGAGTAGGAAAACTTCATTTTATTGATGGAAATGTGGATACAAACAAATATTTGGCAATTTTAGAAGAATCGCTTTTACCAGTGATGGAAGAATATTTGACATCCGGCCAAGATTTTGTATTTCAGCAAGATGGTGCAGCGTGCCATACCTCAAAAAAGGCAATAAAATGGATGGAAGAAAATAATGTACCACTTTTCAAATGGGTTTCTACCAGTCCAGATCTGTCACCTATTGAAACTTTGTGGCACAATCACCCAACTGAGACAAAAGCTTCAAGAAATATGGGATTGTTTTACACCAAATTTTTGCCAAAACTTGGTTAACACTATGCCCCAAAGAATTTCAGCAACCTCATGGAAGCCAAATGCAAATTACTAGTGATATTGCTGACCTATCTTATTTTATTAATTTTTTACAGTTTCTGATAGTTCATGCGAGCTTTGCCATAGATTCATATATTTCATTATTTTCGTTGGAATAAAAATATAGGTCGTGTATAATTACTTACCACCATCAGATTTTTTCTTGTCTCCTTTTCCCATGGTTTTCTGCAGCACTGTTTACCTGTAAAAAGTATACATAAAGGAAGAATGCAAATACGTTCATCAACAGGGGCGGCTGGCCCTTAAGTTCTACAGAGCTGCAGAACTGCCAAAACTTTTGTCTTAACAGAAAAAAGCAGTAGTAATTTGATCATTATTTATTTTCCATGTTATCGCACAAATAGAAACAATACCGGCAACGCTGCCCCCGCAAGACGCAGCGTCGAGTCTGTTTTGGATTGAGAAAGCAGTATAATCGACCAATTGTGTACTTGTCATTTTCTTCGCGACTGCAGCGTAACATTATTCATGGGCCACTTGAAAAGGGTCTGTGCACTACTTCGACACAAGCCGCACGCGCTTGCTTTTGTCTCTCTCTACAAAATCAAATGCGCGATTTAAGCATAAGCATGTGCTGCAATTTATACAGATCTAATGCGAAGTACGATATCTGATTGGTCGGTCGGTGCTCGGTATAAAATTTTGCGGAGCATTTGAATTGGCGCTACGGGGCCACGACGAAACCGAGAGCTCCCAAAACCCGGAAATATTTCGTGGACTGATTAATTTTTCTGCTGAGCTTGATACAACCTCAAGCGAACACATAAAAAATGCTTCAATATTTAAAGGAACTTCGAAAGAAATACAAAACGATCTACTGGATTTTATTCTTGAAGTTTGTCATGAAGAAATAATGAAACAGATTAACAGTGCCTCGTATTTGGCGATAATAGCAGATGAAACAACGGACATTTCGGGGAAAACTCAACTGGTAACAATTTTCAGATAACGGCGAACTAGTAGAACGTTTTTGGAATTATATGAATCCCGAAAAATGTGACGCTGATACTCTCACAAGACATATTTTGAGCGTCGTAGATCCATTAATAGGAAATTTACCTAACAAATTGATTTCACAAAGCTATGATGGAGCCGCGGATTACCGCTCATTAGAGCGGACATAATGCTGGAGTATAGGCAAAAATTAAACAAAGATATCCATTTACTCACTATGTGCCTCCGCAAATGCTCAAGTTCTGGTGTTCTTTGGGGATTTGAAAGATATTCCGGGATTTTTTAATAATTCTCCTCAACGCGTAGAGGTACTGAACAGAATTGTGGGTAAAAAATTCCCTGTATATGCATGTAAAACATTTGTAACCAAAATTGACTTAACTGGTTTTTTCTAAGCTGTTTTTCAATTACACAAAAATTGATTTGCTTAATTACGTGTTGTCGTCGTATCGCGTCATTTGTCGAATGGCAAGTAATTGGACAATTGTACATTGTAATAGCATTACACATACTTTCGATAGTGCAATTCATCTTGCCCAGGCGAACAAAATTTTTTGGGACCTTTGACCAGGTTTTTCAGTCTCAAAGAGAAGAGAATAAATTAGACAGAGATCAGTGATATAACCTTAAAACAAGCCGTCCATAAAACAAGTCGATGGCATCTAAATATATGGATATTTTTATTTGGTCAGAGATAAATAGGTACGGTATTGTCAGATAAATAATCCATTTTACGTATTTTAGTATTGAACAGCAAACTCGTCGCGTTTCACTAGTTTTTATGGTATCATAGAAGGCGATGATGTAACTGAAAATTTGCGGTAGGCTCTGCTACTACAGGGTGTTTCAGAACTATGGGATCAAACTTGTAGGGGTTGTTCAGTGTAACAGTAGAAAACATTTGAGTATAGGGACGCATATCCGGCAGCAATTGTTCAGAATGTCTTCCTCCAACCTGAATATATCGTTCCTGTGGGGACATGGTTTACGAAACTCCAGTAGAAACAGAGCAAGACTTAATTGGACGAATTACAGCAGCACTTGAAATCATTCAAAACGAGTAACAAATTTTTAGTCAAGTCCGCCGAAATCATGTGCGACGTTCAAATCTGTGTATTCAGGTTGGAGAAACACATTTTGAACAATTGTTGTGATGTTATCATGTACAAAAGGCAAAAATTAAATGCATTAAATCCTATTTAGGCAAGTCATCGTTTTTCTAAATTTTAACGCGTCTTAGGGCCGTAGTGACACTTTTCCGGAAATGGGTCCCTATCTTCAAATGTTTTCAACTATTACACTGAATAACCCAAATAAGTTTGATCCCTTAGTTCTAAAGCACCCTGTATAACGCGAAAGAAACCCAACATCGATGCTTGATGTACTCTTTGATTTCGCATATAGACGGATATTTTAGGTTGTAAAGGGCCAAAGAAGATGAAATCCATAAAAGCCATTTTAATCACTGATGAACTGTTCTCTCAGCCACTTAGCCCTTCCTAGATTACTTAACATTTCTCTACTCATTTCTGAAGAAAATTTGTGTAAATTTATTCATAGTGTGTGTCGATAAAAACAATCCGGAGGCGCCTGTTGCCACTATCTTGAATAATTCAGTAGAGACTTTGCCGGCGTGGTTCTCTGTTCTCCAGATCTCAAGTTTCAACGTTCGCTGGCATCTTCGTGCCTTTTCTACCTACTCAACTCCGTCATCTCGAAGATCTGGGACGGCCGTGACATCGTCCGCTTTTGTTCTTCCGATTCAATTTGGTTGGCGACAGCGACTAACCGAAAACAATACACACTGGACAGTGTTGTTCTCGATGGATTTTGAATTGTGCAAAGATGTTAATAGAAATTGTGGATATTTCTTTAAAAATGTGCATATAACTGATTTTCTGGCGCAACCGCCAATTTAAAAAAAAAACTTAAATTTCATGGAACCTTTTTATTGTTTAATGCGAATTTAAGAAAATAATACCAGAATAAAAAAATATTTATTTATTAAATTTAACTAACGTCATCAATTATGAACAATCATCGGGACTCGGATGCGTAACAAATAATTACTGGATTAGTATTTTGTGTGTGTCTAACAGTACATTTCACTCGTTCATGCAGCTGCTAAAAAAATTCATTGCCAGTTTTGTATAAAAAATGCACTTTATTTATTGGCGATTGTGCATATTTTTTGTGGGGGGTGCATATTGTGCATATATTCGTAAAATTGTGCATAATATTTTTGAAAAATTATTGCGCCAAAAGGAACGACACAACTGTTCTACAATCACTACATTTTTTATATAATTTTCAAGTACCATTATATTATGCCTATAATAATAGTAAATTGTCCACATATTCCTGTGAAATTTTGTTGATCGGTTGTGACTAACATAATAATAATAATAATAATATTTATTCACTCAATGTACAAAGATAACAAACAATATGAGTAAATAAATATAAAATCAAAACAGGCCCAATAGAAGGCATCGCCTGTACATGGACCAATAAATTTAAGTTGAAACTGTAGAATGCAAATGACAAAAAAGGACAAAGCTACAGTAGATTATGTATTTAGTTGATGTTCGTATTTATGAGTTTATGAATTTCAGTCCTAGATATGGAATGTAGCCACTTTTTTAAATTTCTTTTGAAACAATTTCCGAAACGTAAATCTTTTAAGTCTTTAGGTATAATTTCATAAAATTTAGGCGCTAAATAGAGATATGATCGCTGCATTATAGATTTATGCGGTTGAGCAACTACTGTGCCACGAATTTTGTACCTGGTATAATGTTTATGTTTAATTTTTTCGTCGGTGTTTACAAATTTATGGTAGTGAGTGATACTGTGTAAGAAATAAAGCTGTCTTATATCATACATTCGAACATCTGCGTATAATTTTTCAGTGGGATAAAGTTTCGGTTCTTTAAATATCATTTTTAGAATACTTTTTTGAAAAACATCTAAATTATAGATATGTGAGGAACATGCAGCTCCCCATGCTAATATACCATATGTGAGATGAGGCTCAATCAGTGCATGGTATAATGTTCGAAGATATTTTTCTGTCAATATATTCCCAAGGTATTTAATTTTGTAGGATACAAATCTAACTTTCTTTAAAATATAATTGACATGGATGTCCCATCGTAAGTGAGGATCCAAGACCACTCCAAGGTATTTTATGTTGGGCACTCTATTAATTTGCATTTTTTTATCATTAATATTGAAGGAGAAATTTGTGTAATTTGGCAGATGTCTAGCATAAGATCCAAATGGTAAAAAATGTGTTTTAGAGTAGTTAATGCTTAATTTTCTACTGTTAAACCACCGAATAATTTTGATAAAATCATTTTCAATTACATTTTTCAGATCAGACCAGTCAGTGCCTTCATATAATATTGCAGTATCATCTGCAAAACTAGTTATTTTGCCAACACAATTAATTTGGAAAATATCATTTAAATATATATTGAATAACAGCGGACCTAAGACAGTTCCTTGTGGGACACCACACTTAATATACATTTCTTTACTAAATGATCCTGATATCTGCACAGATTGTGGGCGATTTGACAAATAACTTTCGATCAGTGAGTACGCGTTTCCTCTGAAACCAATTCTCCCCAATGCTTCTAATAATAATTTGTGATTAACTGTGTCGAAAGCTTTCTTTAAATCAACAAAAATGCAGATTGAAGGGATTCTGTTATCAATATTTTGATGTATTTGATTTACAATTTTAGTTATTGCGTCCGATGTAGCCTTCCCTTCTGTAAATCCATATTGATTTTCACTTAAGATTTTGAATTTTGTGAGGTATCGAATCATTCTAGTAGTTAAAACTTTTTGGGTTATTCATTGAAGAATTTATCATTTTTAGCCAGCTTTTATAACATCAACTTATTAATCTAATGTGCACGTAATGTTGGATAAAATATCAGTGAAAATCAGGGTGAAAATAGTCAATAACTAATTTATTATTTTCCACCAAGTTGCCTTCATATACCAAAAACACTTTTCTAAATTATCCGTTATTTACATCAGATAGAGTATAGTAAATATGCTGCAATAATATATTATTCAGTAGCGCTGATGTACGGCACGCCGTGCTGTCGGCCGGCCGACCGGCCTACTCGTGGTGACGTCACGCGTCTGTTGTCAGGCCTTGTACTCTCTCGGTGGTAACGGCTTTGCGCGGAGATGCTGCGGTGTCGAAGG